GAAGCAACTTATTTGCAATAGGGTGAGGCGATTTTATTCTTCATCAAGCAATAGATGCCCCCAACTATTCTTTGTTCTTCTACTAAATAAATAATCCATGAAATTAAGAGAAAATAATAGATTATCATATTTTTGAGTATTTGCTTTAGATGACAACTGTTGGAGATGTAACATGTGTTTATAGTCAATCTATAGTTAGTTGCTAGATCTAATTTAGTCTATACATTACTAATCTTTGTGTTCATACAATATATACCTTGGGTTCCTATGTTCATTTAAGAAAAATATTTTTTTATACGAAATCTCATGCATCACACGGGGTTTTTTAATATAGTCCATCTACTTAATTTATAGACACAATTACTTCAGCTTTAATAACTATAGCTGAAGTAATTTTTTATACGTAATCTCGTGCATCACATGAGGTTTTTAATATAGTCAATCTACTTAATTTGCACATAGACATAATTATTTCAGCTTCAATAACCGTAGCTGAAGCCTTGGTGGCAAGAGGGGGAAAAATAAAAAGAGAATGTTTTGATGGAAAAATCATAATTTTCTTTAATTTTACAATAATAAAGTTTACTAACATGCCCCATGTGTTTTATCTTTAACACAAAATCAACAGTTATAAGATTAATGCACAAAATATTATTTGGCCTTCAAAATTTGCATCATATGGTTTCTTCACATGCACTACGTGAAACGTGCATGTTGCATACTAGTATGTTCAATAAATAATAGGTATAAATGATTTTATTATTAATCAAGGTCAATTTTAGGACATCTTACTAGGCTTATTTTACATGTTTAATATTGTCTAGCATACCCTCTCTAAGTTACCTATGCCTAATTATATTCTTAAATTACAAAAAATTAGCTCTCACTTCCTCTCCTCATTAAAATCCCTCATTACTCATTCTTTCTTTCCTCTAAATTCTTAAATGCTCTTTTATCTATAGTAGTATTTAACAGTGCTTTGCATGTGATGCATTTTAAGTAATGATATGAGACTAAAACATTTGAAGGCCATCTCACATTGCACTCACCCACGAATTTTTTTGAGAACAATGAAAGAGGACTCAAATAGAATCCCAAGCCACCCACTTGCCATGAATTTATTGATATTTATATTAGTTTGTCTCTCCATGAAATTGCATACTTGTATAACTAATAGATTGATATTTTTTCATAAATTAGAGGTGAAATGAGTTATAGATCTGTTCGTTTCCTCAACCAAAAAAAAAGTAATACATTTTTCTTTCTTAATTATCGCCTATGAAATTGTGTTAACTACAAGGTATCTAGGTTACTATAGTCAAGGGACTGACTCCACTATCAAAATTCTCACTTCCTGCATTTTTTTCTTTTATCTCTTTTAGTGTTTCCTTTTGTGCATTTGAGCATCCATATAAACAATAATTTTATGCAACTCTTGTCTAAGTGGAATGTTTACGGAAGTAGCCAAGTCGTGAATGTTCGCGGGAAAAATTGCACTCATTGATTCCATTGATTCCTTTGTTAACAGTTTATCAGTTACAAAGATCCGGTCTTTTTATAAGATCCGGTTACAATGAGATCAAAGAAAAAATAAAAATTACAACTTTCCTTGAACAAATCACAAGATCCTGTTTTGCGGTCTCTTGCTTGTGTGGGTTCTTCGCCTGCGCCGGGGTTAATCAGTGGACCACTACGCGATCTTGATCCTGTCGGATCTACACGTTATGACGGGTGCTATTTCACGAAGGAAATAACAGCCGGGGGTACTATTTCGCTAAGGAAATAATAGCCTTTAGTAATCGAAATCGACCAAGCGAAATCGATACTCTTCTCGGGATCAAAAACCAAGTTTTGATCCGGAGGATA